TTTAAAAAAAAAAAAAAAAAAAAAAAAAACATTTAGGTTCCGTGATCCTCGTGGATCGTGGATTCGTTCATGGCTCATTAGGGCCAGGAGGAAATACATGCTCGAGCAATATCAAATCTACAACGGTTTAGGCATGTCACGAGAGTTTAAGATGGTCTACATTACATGAACAAAGTCCATGCATTTAGCTCACTTAAGGAAGAACGAACGAAAAGAGGGTCTATCTCTAATCTCTTCCATCAAGAAATTGGTCTTTTTACTTTCATTTCGTTCTTTTTTTTTTTCCTCCCGAGAAAGAGACCGCTTCAAGACATTGGTTTTAAGGAGATCATAGTTTACTCGTCAATAGCCCATATGAATCTGATGACTGTTGTGTCGGACGACAATCATTAGGTCACCTATTTTGAGTTATGGGCATACCGTGTTTTTTGAAATTACAACAATTCACTCAATATTATTGTAGAGTATAATTTTTTTTTTCGACTTTTGATATATATTCAGGCACATTTCTCAAAGAACCAGTTATGTTCATGGCAATATGATTAGAGATAATTAATGTAAGTTCATCTGCTAAACGTAAGGGAATCAATAAAAATTAAAAATAGTAATAATTGCATGCCATTATTTTACAATAATCGTAGTAAAAATTCAATGGTGTTACGTATAGTAATAAAATAATTAAGAATACTTAAATTGGTTGACTTAATTGAAGGTGGTCTTGACGGGGTAATGCACCTGATTTTTACGTGATAATAACCGTAAAATTTATTTAAGAGTTCATGACCTAAAAAATAAGAGAGACTTGTGCAGCAGTATACCAATGTTGTGCTTGTTGCACAAACTCTAATCTTTAAGCTTGGTGTTTACTAGGCAAATTCTAGTGTTTCAAGAGTTTTGGAATTAAGAATAACTTACTTCTTTAAGTTAAAGAAGATAATTTATATGATCATCTCGGGTATTTTGTTGACTTGATTAGGTCAGAAGAGGATTGGATAAAGCTAAACGAGTATCACGTAACTCGGGACATGATGCGTGTGGTCACATATGAAGCTGCGGAACTTGAGGATCAACCCAAGTTTTGCTTCTCTCTCATGCTTGGTGGCTCGATTCCTTCATTCTTCGACCCGTTTTTTTGTTACGTTGAGATTTTTTTTGCCTCATTTGGTCGTGATTTTGTTGGTCTTCTATGCGTGTCTCGTATCCAATTTCGCTAGATTTGTGCTCATTGGATTATCTCTAGGATTGTCATCTAATCCAAAGAGATTATCTTCTCGTGAACTAAAATATTCGAACACATGGAAGTAGAGATAGAACCATGGGAGAAACTTTTTGTACAACACAACTACACAGTCAGTCATGTATGCTCAAACTTCAAGCAAATACATCTCTAAATATATGCATGACCATAACAACATATACCAATCGTCAAGGATCTTGAATGCTTCTTTCTCGACATCGCCTCGCTCCTGGTCGTAAATAACCATTGTAAAAATCCGACAATTTCATCGAACAACTATACAACGAAACTTGAACACGAAACTTCCATTTCTAATGTACAAATGCTGGTGTCTCGAAACCAACTCTGGTTAAGCCATCTTCTTCAGAATCATTTCTATAAAACCCGAGCCTGTCGAACGACCAATAGAAAAAACTCCTAATAGACACAGATCTCTACAAAAGAACAAAAGAACAAAAGAAAAATCAATTACAGGTCAACAAAGGCGCAAGATCTCAACAACTAAGAACAAGCAGGTATTATGAGCTTCATACAAAAAGACACAATTTCATCATCAATCATCAAGGAGAAATTATAGAGGTCACCAACTCCACAGTAAAATCATATAATTCTCCTGAAGAACCGAAAAAAATGGCATGTGGACTGTGAAGATAGGTTGTTCAAAGTGAAAAATCGAACGTCGTTTTGTACTTGTTCGATAATGCTACAAAAAGTGCTTTTATGTAAAATGCTTTAATTATAAGTACTTCAAAAGTCGATAAAGAATTACTTCGATATCTATTTTTACATTCTTAACCGTGCTTTTGAGTCGAGAATAATATATTTTTACATTCTTAAACTCCAGCAGCCAAAAACAGACTCAATTCAACATCAAAAATACTTGAATCCAACTAAAATAAACACCAATCATCACGCACAAGAATAATGTCAGTGACAAACCCAAGCGCCAGAATGCTCAATCTTAGCCACCAATCTCCTAGAAGAAAATAGCTCAATTAAAGGAAGATATTTATGAAATCCTACGTCGATTGGAGAGAGGAACGAAGAGGAACGAAGCATTCTTTATAAGGGTGCGGAAACCTCTCCCTAACAGATGTGTTTTAAAAATCTAGAGGGGAAGCCCAAAAGGGAAAACCCAGAGAGGACAATATCTGCTAGCGGTGGCCTTGGCTTGTTACAAATGGTATCAAAGCCAGACACCAGGAGGTGTGCCAGTGGAGACGCTGAGCCCTGAAAGGGGGTGGATTATGAGATCCCACATCGATTGGAGAGGAAACGAAACATTCTTTATAAGGGTGTGGAAACCTCTCCGGGCAAACACGTTTTAAAAACTTAGAGGGGAAGCCCGAAAGGAAAAACCCAGAGAGGACAATATCTGCTAACGGTGGCCTTGTCTTGTTACAAATGGTATCAAAGCCAGACACCAGGAGGTGTGTTAGTGGGGACGTTGAGCCCTGAAAGGGGGTGGATTATGAGATCCCCCGTCGGTTGGAGAGGGAAACGAAACATTCTTTACAAGGGTATGGAAACCTCTCTCTAGCAGACGTGTTTTAAAAACCTTGAGGGAAATCCCGAAAGAGAAAGCCTAGAGAGAACAATATTTGCTAGTGGTGAGCTTTACTTGTTACAATATTTGGTTTGCTAGAATTTACCTAATTTACCGGGCTACGTTGTTGCGCCTCTTGGCACGAAAATAAGCTAAGAGGTGGAAGCAATACCATCAAATATCAATTGGTTGTGGCAATCCCTTGCAAGTGATCAGAGTTCTCAAGCAATGCCTCAGTGCTTTCAGGGTCACGTTGAGATGAAACCTTTGATGCCTTGACACGATATAATACAAAATGTTGATAGAAGAAAATCAGATCAAACACTATAGAGACCTGCAGCGCAATATAACTGTAGTGAGCAAATATTGCTAACTCAAATTACTCTTAACACTTTTGAAAGCCATAGTTGGCTCTCGAATCAAATCATCAGGGACTAAAAGGTAATTGACTTCGACAAGTACTGTTAGAGAGAGAGAGAGAGAGAAAGATCGTACTGAAGCTAACAATGGCTTCCCTATATTTCCAAAGAAGTTCACCCAAGAACCTGGAAAGAATCAGACGTCAAAATTTAGATGGACTTTAGGATGATAATATCAGGTATCAATCAAGAAGTTTGGGTTGTTCAATCAAGGGAAGCTCGATGGAATTCATAACCGTCTCGTTGTTTATTTTAATTGTCCGAATATTCAAAAACTAAGATCATTCCAATGCTCCTTTTCGCAATGCATAAACTAAACTGACAATTAGGATAAACACGAAAATTAAAGCTTCTATAAAGACAGATACCCCCAATACATCAAAACTCATTGCCCATGGATAAAGAAAAACCGTTTCAGCATAAAAAAACAACAAAAAACTAGAGCAATCATCAAACTTGATGTTTAGATAAAAGCATCCACGATACAATTTTAAAAAATACATAGATAAATATGAATATTGCATATAATGAGAGTACTCTCAAAATATATTCTTGTAAATTTGTCCTAACCCTAGGATGAACAACCATATCAAAATTATACGTTTGATGTATTTTTCACATATGTCTGTAACGGCCCAGATCCACTGCTAGCAGATATTGTCCTCTTTGGACTTTCTTTGGGCTTTTCCTTTCGAGTTTTCCCTCAAAGCTTTAAAACGCGTCTGCTAGGGGAAGGTTTCCACACCCTTATAAATGGTGGTTTGTTCTCCTACCCAACCAATGTGGGACATCACAATCCACCCCCATTCGGGACCCAGCGTCCTCGCTGGCACTCTTTCCTTCCTCCAATCGATGTGGGACCGCCCCCAAATCCACCCCCTTTGGGGCCCAGCATCCTTACTGGCACACCGCCTCGTGTCTACCCCCCTTCGGAGAACCGCGAGAAGGCTGGCACATCGTCCGATGTTCGGCTCTGATACCATCTGTAATGGCCCAGATCCATCGCTAGCAAATAATATCCTCTTTGAGCTTTTCCTTTCGGGTTTTCCCTCCAAGCTTTAAAACGCGTCCGCTAGAGGAAGGTTTCCATACCTTTATAAAGGGTGGTTTGTTCTCCTCCCCAACCAATGTGGAACATCACAATGTCATTACAAGTTATGAAAAAACTTTTGGTCCTTCAAGTTTGAGCTTAGTAACACTTAGGTCCTTGAGTTTTCAAACTTAACAATTTAGCCCCGAGTTTTGGATTTAGTTTCATTTATGTCATTATAAATGATGACGCGACCATGGTAGCTAGTGGCAGCCATGGATGGAGGAAGAAGAAGAATGGGAGGAGGACGGAGAAGGGAAAACAAATGTCATGACCATGTCGTTAGTACTTAACGGAAATTTGGATCGAGGGACCAAAATGAAACTAAATCTAAAATTTAGGGGCTAAATTGTTGGGTTTGAAAACACAGAGACCTAAATGCTTCCAAACTCAAACCTCAGAGACCACGAGTGCATTTTTCTCGTAAATTAAAGTCATATGTTTTCCATATTGACCCTTAAATTATACGGTTCAAATACAATATGGCTATCAATACCGAGCTAACCGTAGATATAAATCACAACAGAAGTATTAGGCAATTGTTTGGTTAAGAAAACATTATAGATGACCTTGGTCAATTGACTGCACGCCCATTTGAGTCAAAGTGGCCACTCCTCCAATGAAGTCTAGAACTACAGTATGAATGCTGAATCCCATCGTGCTCTTTCGGGTAAAGTTCAAAAATGCCTGAATGTAAACAATGGGACTTCGTGAAATGCAAGCTTCCTTGTTCTTTGCTTGCAATTTTATATCAGCATCAAACATATGCATAAATTTATTTTAGTCTCAAATGGATTTACACTTCTTAACAGCCACATGGTCATATTGCAAACATTTGGAGTAGCTAAACAATTCCATGATAACTTTAGGAAACATTACCACACTTAGGGTCGGACTAATTCTCGAAGGTTTCAAACTATATGAGAAATTTGTTTCTTGTGAGATCCCACATCGGTTGAAGAGGGTAACGAAGAATTTGGATGTGGAAACCTCTTCCTAGTAGACGCGTTTTAAAATCATGAGGCTAATGGCAATACGTAAGGGGCCAAAGCGGACAATATTTACTATCATTGGGTTTGGACTGTTATAAATGGTATTGAAGCTAGTCACCGGGCGGTGTGCCAGTAAGAACGTTGGGCTCCCAAGGGGGGTGGATTGTGAGATTCCACATCGGTTGGAGAGTGGAACGAAGTATTCTTTATAAGGATATGGAAACCTTTTCCTAGTAGAAGCGTTTTAAAATCGTGACCCTGACGGCGATGTGTAATGGGCCAAAATAGACAATATTTGCTAGCAGTGGGTTTGGGTTGTTACAAATGGTATCAGAGCCAGACACCGGGCGGTGTGCCAGCGAGGACACTGGTCTCCCAAGGAGTGGATTGTGAGATCCTACATCTATTGAAGAGGGGAACAAAGCATTCCTTATAAGGGTGAGGAAACCTCTCCCTAGCAGACACATTTTAAAACCGTTAAGGCTAACGGCGATACGTAACAGGCCAAGCGGACAATATCTACTAGCGGTGAGTTTTTGTAGCCATCCCATAAAACTTTTAGCCTTGTGCTACTACTTTTTAATACATTAGTGCATTGGTTGTTACTGAAATTGTAGAAAGTGGACCAAAATCGAAGAACTCATGAAAAAAATTAATTAAAAAGCTATGATGAACACATATGAATTGTGAATTTGTTCAGATGATAAGTTGAATCATAAAAAAGACTAAGAACAAAAAGACGAATAAAGAGAATTAACTGTATAGTTTAGCCTAACCTGAGGGGAGTATTTGATGACTGTCATAAGAACTTGAATTGAACTGCAACACATTGCCAATCAACCTTGCTGAATTATTAGCAAATCAATCAAAATATAACTCCACAAAATTTTAAGAGATGAAGAAATGGTTACTTGAACATGGAGACAAGCCAAAGCCATGAATGAGTAGGCAGAGCTATAAAAAAGCAAGCAGCTGCAAAAACCCATACTGCAGCGAAGATGGCGACGGCTGAGTTCGAGACCTTCTGGTCGCCACACTGCACCAAAATTCAATCAATAGAATGCGAATGGTAACCCAAATCAAACCAAAACAGGATCAAACACAAAGAGAATAAACCACTGACTTCAAATAAAAAGATCTGAACTGAAACGATGAAGATCAATAAAATCGAGTGCGAGGGGAAGAACACATCGCTCAAAGCCACCGGTATCATCTGCAGCAATCAATGAAAACTGTTCAGATTCATAAGATTAGGACTATTATTCTTCGATTACACATTGCTATCATGCTAAAATTTCTCGAAAAATCAACACGGATTTGCAGAAGTCTAAGTCAAAATAAGAGCAGCAAATCTCTACAAACTACGGGTTTATTAGTATAGGTGGGACAAGTCTTAATTTAGATTAATAAAAGTAATTTGTATTTTGTCTTAAACATTCAAAAATAATAATAATAATAATAATAATAAATAACAATAAAAATAAAAAATAGTGTTAATTTTTAAATAGAAACGGATAATATTTTATTTCATAAATAATTTTGATTTGAATTTTAATAATATTTAAAAAAATAAAAAATATTTTTAGTATGGTGATATGAATCAAGAGACATCAATCATACGATATAGTTCAATGAAGATGTGAAGAAAAGGTTGTTAAAATTATCAAAAGATGTTTCAATTGAAGAATGAAGTTTGATTATTGTAAATTTTGGGTGGGTTACAATTTAGAGTAAGTTAGAGTTATTGTATTTTAAGACTTTTCATCTACTTTAGTTACATTTACATGATGACTAATTATAGTCATTAAGTATGAATGTTACGAATTTTTGGTATGCCTCTAATAGTTTCATTTTGAAGGCCACGTAGGTTGTATTTGTAAAGGGACTTAGAAAATATAGTAAAAGAAGCTTTGTGCTTTTTCTTTTAGCCAATGGCTAAGTTTCTTTGCAATTCTACTTAGTTTAGATTGCATGGAGAATCATTCAAGCTCGACATTCTTGCTTGTGGAGTGATTCGAATCTCAACACAAGTGTTCTTGCGTTGAGATATTTGATCAACAAGAATCATTCAAGTTAGACATGATCGATTTTGCTTGTGGAGTGATTTGAATCTCAAATAATATTCTTGTCGTGAGATATTCGATCAACAAGGTAATCCGAATCTTATTCCCTTGTATTGATTCCTTACTTATCATATGGTTTAAAAAAGACAGGCGAAAATCTTAAATTAACATTAACACCTTTAAATTTAATAAAAAAATTAAAAAAAATCTTACTATCAACCTATGGATACAGTCTATTTGTTGAGAATTATTGAGAATGAGTCCCACATTGGCCAATTTAAAGAATGATTAGTTTATAAGCGAGGAATGCTATCTCTATTGATATGATGCATTTTGGGGAAGCCCAAAGCAAAAGCCACGAGAGCTTACACTCAAAGTGGACAATATCATACCATTATGGAGAGTCGTGATTCCTAACATAGTATCAGAGTCATGCTCTAAATTTAGCCATGTTAATAGAATTCTCAAATATCGAACAAAGAATTGTGAAACTCAAAGGTGTAGTCAAAAGGTGTATTTTGTTCGAGAAGTCCAAAACAAAGCTATGAAAACTTATGTTCAAAGTGGATAATATCATACCATTGTGGATAATCGTAGATAATCGTGATTCCTAAAACTATTAGCATTTCATAAATTATTTTCCAACTTTTTAATATTCTCTTGAAAATTTAAAAGTAATTTTTAGATTTTTTTTAAATTTAAAATTAATATTTTAAATTAATATTATCCACTTTTAGTATAAGCTCTATTTTGCTTTAGACTTCCCACAAAACTCTATATTAATGGAGAGAGTATTGCTTGGTTATAAATCCATAATTTCTCGATTATAAACTATAATTATTCCCTAAATTAGTAGATAGTTCGAAGTTGGTAGTTCATAGCAACGATATAGTTCTAGATCAAGAATTACCGATAAATCGTCCATTATAGAAACTAAAATTCGAAGAACTGAAGAAGAAGAAGAAGAAGAAAACCTGATCGAAGCCGTATTTCTCGAAGTACTGCCTCTGAACAGTAGCGCTGAAGAACAGACTCGCGTTGTAAATCAAATACGACGATTGCTTCGTGAAATTCAGCATCACAAAATCAAAGCTCAATCCTACAACACTACCAAACCAGAATCCAAACATCAGTCCTCAATAACCTCTCCGCCGAAGAAGACAACGACGGCGATTCCGACGCTGGCGCCGGAATCGTCGATAAACAAGACCTGATTTCGTACCTTTTTCGCCAGAAATTCAGAATGATCTGCGGATATGAGGCGAGCGCCCAGCATATGATAGCACTCCATCCTAATAGCTGGTAGAGGATCTCCATAGGAACTGAATTCCATGAAGCCATTTCTCTCGGAGACGAAGAACTGGAGTGAGACTGCGAATGGGGTCCCGTCTTAAGGATTTCCCTTCCTTTCAACCTCGTTGAATCTGGACCGTTCATGATGGGCGACGTATGTGATGACGTGGCAGTCTCGATTCGCTTTCAGAATCAATAATGCTCTATTATATAAATGCTTTAGAGGTAATATTCCATTCACACGCCTTTTTCCATTTATATTTAAATTAATAATACCAATATTGTTATAATTATTGCTACAAAACGAGACATTAATACTTGTTTAACACTTTAAAAAAATAATAGTCATTAATTTGAGTATAATTTATTTATTTATTTAACCTTCTCTAAACATGTGTCAAAATAAAAATCATTGTTTAATAATTTGTTGGAAAGAATTAAATTTGGTTGGTACTAGTTGAGTCAAGTTGAGATATTTTTGTAATTTTTTTCAAACAAGACAACCCTAGTTAAATAATGAATCAAACTCAACCTTTGGGTTAATTCAACTTGGGTTTAAGTCAACGAAACTGTAATGAGTTGGGTGGGTTAATTCAACAAAACTGTAAGGAAGTAACAACGTAATGAGTTGGGTTAATTCAACGAAACTGTAATGAGTTGGGTGGGTTGGGTTAATTTAACAAAACTGTAAGGAACGCTCAAGTTTGATGAATTTGACACATATGTTCTGTTAAAATTCGAAACTTAAACATTTTCTAGGTTAAAATACGAAACTTAAACACTCTCATTTTTAGTCATTTTGGAGTCAAATTTTAGGTGTTTACATTGGCACTTTTTTCCTTCCTCTTCGATAGAGAGTCGTTAACTCGTCCAAAAAAGTTGTTACGAAACTTGAATACATTCATTTTTGGGTTCGGACCATTTTAGAGTCAAATTCCAGAGTGTTAACATTGAAACTTTTTTCCTCTTTGAGACGAGAGTCGTTAACTCGTTCAGAAAAGTTGTTATATCGTTTTAATATCATACCATATCCACTAAAGATTGTCCAAAAAAAAAAAAAAAAAAATCAGAAAAAACATATATTTATTTATTTATAGCTTCCAGGGTGTGCACAAGATCATCATTTCTGATGTTTTGAACAAAAAATAACAATGGTCTCACAGGTTTCGGTTCAAAACCGAACCATTCGATCTTGGGTTGGTCGGGTTGGATCAATTTTAACCAATTTTCAGCTCTTTTTTTCTTGCGACATAAAGGTGCATTGATCAAAGTCATGAGAGCTTGATGGAGTGAACGAACAAACCGGGAACTTCCACGACACATAATTTGTTGAATCCAAGTAAAGCAGCACAAGATTACAAATATTAGACAACGGGAATAGAGAGGATGAAATGGAAGAAGACATAGTGGTGCGCCCATTGAAACAGAGCAAGCTTTTTTGCTGGAACGAAATGAAAGAGGTAAAAGAAAAGACGAAATTTTTGGTTGAATAATTCTCTAATACCATGCAGAAACAGTGATACTCTTCGTATGTATAAAAGATCGGATATAAAAGAAAAATGAACAGATGTGTGAGATCTCACGTCGATTGGGAAGAAAAACGAAACACCCTTTATAGGGGTATGGAAACCTCTCTCTAACAGATGCGTCTAAAAAGCCTCGAGGGAAAGTCTAGAAAGGAAAGTCCAAGCCTCGAGGGAAAGCCTGGAAAGGAAAGCCCAAAAGAGGACAATATCTGCGAACAGTGGGCTTGAGCCGTTACAATTGGTATCAGAGTCAAAACCGAGCGATGTGCCAGCGAAGAGGCTGTTCCCCGAAGGGGGGTAGACACGAGGCGGTGTGTTAGCAAGGACGCATGGCCTCGAAGGGGGTGGATTTGGTGGGGGTCCCACATCAATTTGAGAAAGAAACGAGTGTCAACGAGGACGTTGGACCCTAAAAGGGGGTGGATTGTGAGATCCCACATCGATTGGGGAGGATAACGAAACACCCTTTATAAGGGTGTGGGAACCTCTCCCTAGCAGACGCGGTTGAAAGGAAAAACCAAAAGAGAATAATATCTGCTAGCGGTGGGCCTGGGCCGTTACAAGATGGATGGTTAAACTATAGCAGTTTAGACAAAGGAAGGTGATCGAACGAACCAGGAAATCGGAGCATAGTTTTTTTTATCAAATAAAAAGAATAAAGGATGATCGTGGTACGACAACTCGAGAAGCCAGGAGGTTTCTGTCAACATTTATTTGGAGACAGATAAATACTAAAGATCAAATCTTAAGTACAGAATGTGTGGAAAGTCAATGATCCACAAGTTATTCGATCAAAATCACATTGCTCATGAGTTCTCACAAGATATTCCATAACTGAATGAAAAAGAACATTATTGTGTTTCGTGTACCTCGAAACTTCGGCTCAGCCCACGAGCTGGAGGCGTTTGATATTTTGAATCTGTTTTCCAGGGTTCAAACCCTTCGGACAGGCACGGGCGCAGTTGAGTATGGTATGACACCGATAGAGCTTGAATTCATCGTTTATTGCCTCGAGTCGCTCCTTGGTGAATTCGTCACGGCTATCACTTATCCACCTGCATGTACAAAGGGGAGAAATGGGGACAGTTTTGTAATTAAAAAATTGTGTCCTTGATAAAAATTTAAAAAAGAGGAAGAAAATTTACGTAAAACTGAGTTTGTAATCAATTTAATCATAGCCATTAGTCATCTGTGTCAATCTTTTTGCAATGCCATGGTTATAGATAGGAAGTTGTGAGGTGAAAGAAAGGAACAAATAAATCATGCAATTACATAAGACACCACATGAACTTGTGAAATCTTGAGAAAAACAAACAAAAATTATGAAGGGATGAATTATATATGAGAACAAAGATATTTTAGGCAACCTTAAAACTTCACCATTAAGCTCTCGTGGTATGATATTGTCCACTTTGAGCATAAGCTCTCGTGGCTTTACTTTAGATTTCCCCAAAAGGCCTCATAATGTAGATAGTGTTCCTTACTTATAAACTCATGATCAACCCCTTAATTAGTCACGTGGGACTCCTCTCCCAACAATCCTCAACGGTAGGACGTCAGTAAAATGTTGAAGAAAAGTCTCGTGAGTTGTCATCTACAAAAGGCTGAGCCCTTGATTGTTGTAGAAAGCATATCATATTCAGAATTTGGCTTACTATCATGTTCTTGAGTAATTGTTGCGGATCAAAAACTCTTTCATGCAAAATCAGCAAAAACTTTTCGCTCATCCTCCACGCCAATAAATATTGTCTTCTTTGGGTTTACCCTTCCAGACTTCCCCTCAAGGTTTTAAAACACGTATGCTAGGGAAAGGTTTCCACACCCTTATAAGGAATGCTTCGTTCCCGTTCAAACCCACAAAGAAACTAAAAGCAAACAAATGAGTTTCAGATTAAGTCTACCAAGGCATCCAAGTCTTTGTCGAACATAGATAAAACAACCAAATGAAATTACTTGATTCTCTATCCAATAGACATCCGATCAAATCATAAATGTCCTACCACGCAAGGGCTTATTTTCCAAGTAGGAGACCGAAAGCACCTTCTAGGAACTGAGAGGACATAACCAGACTAATCCTTGATGAGGCAAGAGTTGTGTGAAATAAGAAACTACTGATTTGTTTAGTACCGGAAGGGCTGTTCAAATATGCTAATTGTAGGACCGTACTAAGAACGATCCCCGACCTACACACACCTCGACATATGCTGTGCCCAACCTCCAGGCCTACAAATGGGATCTGAACACACCTCAATAAGTTCTCCAGTTTCTTCAATTCCTTTTGATACCCCCACGACTGTTCTTCCTCCTCTCATTTCCATATACAAAATTTCCCTTCTTTTGATAAGCTCTCTTCATTCGTTGTTAACTTTTCTTTCCCTTTGAAGTCTTCAATAAAAGACCATTTTAATGCTTTTGATTTACACGTTTTCTAGCTCCTCAAAACGCACTTAAGCCCTCAAGTAGAGTACCTAAATTACCAAACTATTGCTGCCAACTTTCAATCCAACAAAATGAAACTTAATAAATACGATTCTGAATCTTCCAAAAGTTCAGGAATAAGCATGAACACCCACATACATCCTTCAAAAGTAGCTTCTTAATCCCTCTAAACAGACCCTGTTTTCTATTCATTTCTAACAAACAGAGAATCAAAGAATAAACGAAGAACAAAAGTGGGGAAATTACCTATTGGCATGGAGCAAAGCAGCTGGTCCAAGATATGACTCCGGGTTCCACCAATAGCTGGGGCACGATGTACTACAACATGCACACAAAATACATTCATACATCCCATCCAACTTAGCCCTATCTTGCTTACTCTGAAGAATCTCCTTCCCCGGCACAGACGGCTCGCTCTTCCTCTTCAACCACGGCTCAATACTCTTATACTGGTTATAAAAATTCGTCATATCCACCACCAGATCCTTGATCACGAACATATGAGGCAGCGGCGTAATCGTCGAAGAAGGATCGGATGGAATCTTCGTCAAGCAAGCCAAACCATTACATCCATCGATGTTCATCGCACAGGACCCGCAGATCCCCTCTCGACACGAGCGGCGGAAGGTCAGAGTCGGATCGATCTCGTTCTTGATTTTGATTAGAGCATCGAGCACCATAGGACCGCATTCTTTTAGATCGATCTTGTACTCCTCAAGCTCTGGTTTGGAAGGGCTGTCGGGGTTCCATCGGTAGATAGCGAACGTCTTGAGCGTTGAAGAGACGGCTGCTTTTTGCTCCACTTTCTGCGCTCCGGCTTCGGAAGCGTGAGCTCGAATTCGAAGGAATCTTGAAGGTGGAGTTGCAGAAACCCTAGATATTGCCCTCCTCAGGATTCCAGTCGCCATTGTTGTGCCTCGAAGAGAGAGAAATGGAGAGAGAGAGAGAAACAGAGAACTTATCTGGAGTAGGAAGAAGGAAGAGTGGCTTTACCAATATGAATATAATAATTAAACTAAATTTAATAAAAAATATCCAAAATTTTGCATTTTTTTATCTTGTAAAAAAAAAAAAAAATATATATATATATATATACAATTAAACTTTTATCATTAATTTTAAATATAATTAATATTTAACTTTTAAAATTTTAAAATTATCCTATAATTTTATTAGTTATAAATAAAAAAAAATATTTACAAGCGTAAACCGTTTATTTATAGCTCAGAAATCATCGGTTCAATTTTAAGGTATTTATTGAAAAAATGATTTAAAATTTTTTATTTTAATTTAAAAAATATTAATATTACTTGTGAATTCCGTCCATATTATTAACGGTACAAGTATTTTTTAAATTTTTTTAAAAAATTAGGTATTTACGTTGTTTGTAATAATGAAATCTAAATTTTTAAATTATGCTGAAGAATATATTATATTTTTATTTATAAAAATATTATTGAATTTACGAAGATGTTTTATATTTTTTTAATATGAAAATTATTTTCTAAAAATTCTTTAAAATTAATCATTTGTGAAATATACAAAAGAAAAATAAAAAAATTATTTGTGGAAAACTCAATTCCCGAAATCTATTATATTTAATAAATTTTTAAAATAAAATTTTTTTGTTTAATAAAAGATAAAAAATTAAAATTGTAATTTTAAAATTTTAGAATAAAAATCAGTAAAAACGTAAAAGTTGGAGGACTAAATTGTAAATTTGCATGAGAGGCATTGGCGGGTATAAATTGGAGCCGCCAAAATACTCGGTTTCTGTTATTCCCATTTTAGCTTCCAACGCCCAATTCTCTTCTTCCTTCTCTCTCGCTCTCTCAGTTTCGTTCTCTGTGCAGAAAGCTTTGTTAATGTATTTTAATGGCATCGGTAAGATTCTCTCTGACTCTTCTCTCTGACTCTTCTCTCTTTTTCAATCGATTTGTGTCTGTTCTGTTTGCATCTTTCTGTATTTTGTATCCTGTTTGATCTAATTCATTGAACGCATGCCTCTCTTATTCTTCTTCTCGAGAATTTGCAATTTTCATTGGGAATTGTTGTTGTAAATCGTAATTTCACGTGTAATGAACGGAAAACAATGTGGCTATGGTAAGAAATGGTGAATTTATAGATTGATGTTCTGTTTGCATCTTTATGTATTTTGAATCCTGTTTGTATGCCTCTCCTCTTCTTCTCGAGATTTTGCAATTTTCGTTGGAATTGTTGTTGTAAATCATAATTTCATCTATAACGAAGGGAAAACAATGTGGCTATGGTAAGAAATGGTAAATTTACATATCGATATTTTGTTTGCATCTTTATGTGTTTTGATCTAGTTCATTGAACATATGCCTCGCCTCTTCTTCTCGAGATTTTGCATTTTTCGTTGGAATTGTTGTTGTAAATCATAATTTCATCTGTAACGAAGGGAAAACAATGTGGCTATGGTAAGAAATGGTGAATTTACAAATTGATGTTCTGTTTGCATCTTTATGTATTTTGAATCCTGTTTGATCTAGTTTATTGAACATATGTCTCTCCTCTTCTTCTCGAGATTTTGCAATTTTCGTTGGAATTGTCGTTGTAAATCATAATTTCACCTGTAACGAAGGGAAAACAATGTGGCTATGGTAAGAAATGGTAAATTTACATATCGATATTTTGTTTGCATCTTTATGTGTTTTGATCTAGTTCATTGAACATATGCCTCTCTTCATCTTCTCGAGATTTACAATTTTCATTGGGAATTGTTGATATAAATCATAATCTTAGCTGTAACGAAGGGAAAACAATGTGGCTACGGTAAGAAATGGTAAACTTACGTAATGATGTTCTGTTTGCAACTTTTTTTTATTTGCAATCCTGTTTGATCCAATCCATTGACACATGCCTCTCCTCTTCTTCTCGAGATTTTGCAATTTTCATTGAGAATTGTTGTAATAAATCATAATTTTACCTGTACCAAAGGGAAAACAATGTGGCTACGGTAAGAAATGGTAAATTTACAAATCGATGTTCAGGCGTAGCTAACGACTTTTGGTTTTAGAAAGTAGCATTTGCTTGAATCGTTTAAGAATCGGCGTTAGGGATTTCAAATTGTTGGGATTGGTATTTACCTGTATTGAATGTAAGTTGTATCCTACCGTAGAAAACTATCGATTCGTGATGGAATTCATAAATCTTGTTATCAACGAAGAAGTTCTGAATTCTGATATATATGTTTCTAACGTCTATAGCAGGATAAAGGTCGCCCCTTGCCGAAGTTCGGCGAGTGGGATGTCAACAATCCAGCTTCAGCCGAAGGCTTCACAGTAATATTTAGCAAAGCTAGAAATGAGAAGAAGTCAAATGAGGCTTCTGGGAACATAGCAGCTAAAAACAATGCACCAGAACCGGAAGAGAATTATCAGTATTCTCCCATGGTAAGCAATATCATGAACTAATTTGTCAATTTAAGCATACCTCAACGAATTAAACCATCTCCATCTCTTTGAACTTAAGTAAATATCAAACCATCTCCATCTCTTTGAACTTAAGTAAATATCGTTAATCAGATCTTTCTTCTCATATTCTGGTTAGAATTTACTACAAATTCTTGTGTTTTGGATGCAGAAAGTATTCTCTCTTGGTAAGCAATATCACGAACTAAATTGTCAATCTGAGTATAATTCAACGAATTAAATCACCCCCACCTCTTTGATCTTAAGAAAATATCGTTAACTAGATCTTTCTTCTCATATTCTGGTTGGAATTTACTGCAAATTCTTGTGTTTTGGATGCAGAAAATTTTCTCCCATGGTAAGCAATATCACGAACTAAATTGTGAATCTGAGCATAACTCAACGAATTAAATCATCCCCACCTCTTTGAACTTGAAGAAAATATGGTTAACTAGTCGGAATTTACTGCAAATTCTCGTGTTTTTGGATGCAGAAAAAATGGTTTTGCTGTCTCTGAAACTGATAGGGAGCGATGGTGGTGGTGACAACAGACATGGTGAAAGAAGGGTAAAGATTTTCCTGATTTGTGAGGGAAATGCAGAATCAAGTAGGGATGTGATGGTTTACTTCCTTTCTCTCTGTTAAGTTTCGCTCTAATAGAAACTTCAGTTTGTTCATCTCATGTCATGGATGTTGTTGGTTGCAACTTCACCATTCACAAGATTTCTAAACTATTATGTATTTTTCATCTTCTAACTAAAGTAACTGCACATATTGTCTGTCAAAAACAAACTATAAGCATCATTATTGTAACGTTTATGACCTTCTTGAGAGCGGAAGTAGAGATATTTTAACTATCGAACTATACCACAACGACCATATCTAAATTTGGTTGAGTAAGCTTCGTTTCAAAACGAGAGAGAATGGGGAGAGCCATAATGGGGTCGGTATTCTCCGTTCCTGCCCAATATGTTGAACACAACACTCCCTCTTTAGAGCCATAATGGGGTTTGAGTTCTCCGTCCTTATCCAATATGTTGAGCACAACTTCTTTTCGTTATAAACACAACACTCACTCTTTATTAAGACCAATCAAGACTACTGGACTCTATTTTATTTTATTTTGTTTACAAATTTTTAGAATTTATTGGGATGAAAACGAGTGAAGTAGAGTAGGGTGGTGGTAAATATGTAAAATCTTGAAACAAAGACACTCAAACCAAAGCGACCCGAACTAAATCGTAAAGATCCGAGCTCGGAAATTGAAAGATCCGAGCTCGGAAATTGAACGATCCAAGCTCGGAAATTGAACGTTGCATTCCTAGACCCTTTATCGTAGGATCATCAAACCTATATAGATATACATATATATTACAAACCAAAAGCGTTCATTTATTATTAGAACTAAAAATTACAGAAGAAGTTTGATCCCATGCTCCCTAAGAAATCTCTAAATCTCTTTCATCTGCTTGAGATTCTTCTCTCTCACCACCTCTGTAGCTTGTTTTGCCATTTGAAGATGATTTCTGACTGAACAATCGGCCAAATGCACTTCTCGACCTCGATAACGACCTGCTTCCGTTACTTGACTGGCAAGAGCCCTTTTTCTTTGAAAGTTCTTCCGATAACCTCTTTACAAGACAATCGAAACGTCGCCGGAATGTTGGATACCTCGAGATGGATTTAGTGATTCCTCGAAGCCTTTAGAAGAGGAAACACAAATCAGACTAAATCGTGTTAAATAACACTAACAAGATAAAGATTCACTGAACATTATTGAAATTTGAACTCCGACCTTCGAGCTAGCGCTTCGATTTCAGCTTGTCTTCGTTCCGATTGTGGAGGCGTTACAGTGGTTAGACTTTTCAACCTTTCAGGATCACCACTGAACAGAACTAGTTTATATAAGTATTCCTCCTCTGATTCAGAAAGGTTTTCTGCTCTAATTTGGTCTTTGATGATTATAAGTGGATTGAAAAACCAATCAAAGAAGGTATCTTTGGGTCTGTTTGTGCTAGAAACTTCAGTAACATTGTCACCTGCATTCATCAGTATGAAGAATAAACCTCTCAATTCCATTTGAAAGAACTCAGAGAGAGAGAGATAGAAATCATCACGATTCATGTCTAATTGTAACAACCTAAACCCACAGCTTTGGACCGTCAGTATTGTTGTCAGCCTCACGGTTTTAAAACACGTTTGCTAGGGAAAAGTTTCTATACCCTTATAAGAAATGTTTCGTTTTGCGCTCCAACCAAGGTGGGATCTCACAATCCACCCCCCTCAAGGGCCCAACGTCTTCGTTAACACACCGTCTAGTGTTTGGCTCTGATACCATTTGTAACAACCTAACTCTGCTGCTAGCAGATGTTCCTCTTTGGGTTTTCCCTTTAGGGCTTCACCTCAAGGTTTTTAAAACGCGTATTCTAGGAAGAGGTTACTACACCCTTATCAGAAATGTTTCGTTCTTCTGTTCAACCAATGTGGGATCTCACAATCCACCCCTCTCGAGGGCCCAACGTCCTTGTTGGCACACCGCCCGATGTTTGGCTCTGATACCATTTGTAACAGCCTAAGCCCGCTGCTAGCAAATATTGTCCTTTTTGAACTTTCTCTGCAAATATTGTCCTTTTTGAACTTTCTCTTTCAGGTTTTCCCTCAAGGTTTTTAAAACACGTCTGCTAGGGAGCAAATATTGTCCTTTTTGAACTTTCTCTTTCAGGTTTTCCCTCAAGGTTTTTAAAACACGTCTGCTAGGGAGAGGTTTCCACACCCTTATAAGAAACATTTTAGTTTTCCTCTCCGACGGCACTAATTGAAGAATAGGGGAGAGGTTAATGGCAAATCAGGTACTTACCTAACAGAAGTCCAACTGAATTTGCTTTAGCAGAGCGTAATAGTGTTTCAAGAATGCAAAAAGCTGGTAAACCAATGCTAATAACTTTGTTTCCTTTGCTCGACTTTGCATCTTCAATATCACTCGACGTTATCGTTCCTTCACAAACCATGGCTTCTCCATGGCGTTGACACTCCTTAAACAAGCTATCCAGCAGCTATAGAAATGATAAGTATAAATCCATTCACTATCACAGCAAAAGGACATAAGTGGATGTAAACAAGACAGAACTTCACACTTCCATTCAGAGAAATATCGAAGAAAACAAGCAAAGGTACCTCGAGCGGCTTCAGATCAATCATAGGTTCCTTGAGTGAATTCATGCGCGAAGGTTGACCATGGAAAGAGCTTGGTCTCGAGATCGAGTTGGATGAATGCAAACCAGCTGTTGATGATTGGCCATCCCCTCTTCGATAAGTCAGCCTTCATTATGACAAGTCATTGTAATATCAGAACAACCGAGTATAGGGAGAGAACGGATAGCACACGACTCATTTAAGTGTTTAAGTTAAAGACCTGGGAAAGCACGATCCCTCTTGCATGTCAAGAACATCGTTGCTGTATTCATCATAAATCGATAAGGATGCAACAATATATCGAAGTCCCAATAAAAAAGAAGACTCCTGCGAACAAACGCACCAATGTTTGATATAACCCGATGATATTGGCAAGATGCATACATTATACATAATCTACCATGAAAATGAATTTCATTGTCGCACCCAAGCCTACCACTAGTAAATATTGTCCATTTTGGCTTGTTACGTATCGCCGTCAGCCTCACAATTTCAAAACGCGTATGTTTGGGAGAGGTTTCCATACCCTTATAAGGAATGCTTCGTTCCCTTCTCCAACCGATGTGGGATCTCACAATCCACCCCCCTTAGGGGCCCAACGTTCTCGTTGGCACACCGCCCAGTGACTAGCTCTGATACCATTTGTAACAGCCCAACCCCACCGCTAGCAGATATTATCCGTTTTGGCCCGTTACGTATCACCATTAGCCTCACGATTTTAAAACGCGTCTGCTAGGGAGAGGTTTCTACACCCTTATAGAATGCTTCGTTCCCCTCTCCAACTGATGTGGAATCTCAATGAATCCATTTATTATCTCTTAAAAACCAAAATGCAAACGAAGAAGCAAAACATGATACTTCTATAAGAAAACCATATTTAACTATAACGAAAGGAAAATCCAATTAACTTAAACATTGTTCAACAAATTAAGACATTATCTTCAACAAGAGAGCAGAGGTNCTAGTGAGACTCGTATGGTAGTGATCTTTGCCACTAAACATAAGTTTTATCACAGTTTAGTCCATATTGTTGAGACTCATTGAGCTACAATTCGAGCATGTATCTCTCGATTGATCCATTCGAGACACGCTTTATTTTGTAAACCCACTTTGAAGAGATGAGTTTGAATCTCCTAGTCTCAACACTAGTTTTCAAGTTTGATTTTGCTTCAAGACGTTGAGGCGTAACAATTCTTTTTACTCTAAGTAGTTTTGAGGCGTAACAATGTAAAAAAAAGATTAATAGTAACAGATTCTCAATCTCTCCACTAACGTCTCTCTTCCCTAAAATACACCAGCCAAAGATTTTTGAACCAAAAAAAAAAAAAAAAAAAAAAAGGAAAATCCAAATTCTTTGTTCCACGGTCAGATTATCCGAGTAACAGGGAATTATCAAATACTATAAAAGAAAATTGCATTTAAGAAGCTAACCTGATATGCAACAATCCCTGCGTAGGCACCTAAGAAGATACTGGAGGCAATGGAGCCCAAAACTGAACCCACAACAGCCAATGGCCAAAGTATGATGATAAGACCAGCAAACGGAACGCATATCGTCTCTAAAAAGGGGCCTTCTCGACCTATAAGGTCATGAAACAAACGATGCCACCCCTTGAAAAGCATAATAGGACTTTTGCATATGGCTATAAACGAGATCATGAATACATCGACGACAATACCGAGAACCCCAGCTATTAAAGCTCCAGGGAGATAGAGCAACCTGCATAAAAGTTAACAGAAAAAGTATGGCCAACAATGGGTTATCAATATCATCACCAAGGCAGCCATTTCTCATTAACAAACATAAGCTTTATTAACTTTTTTGGCAAAAAGAACAGTTTCATTAGTTTAGAGAAAAGTACATCAAAGGGACCTGAAATAAGGTTATCTTTCAGCTAAAAAAGAAAGCCTCAATGAGAATCCCACTAGGCTGAAGCTAGGCCAACCACTAATCTTTAGAGAAAGAAAAGGCCTCCAAATTCATATTAGTTACATTTGGGGAACCGTTAAAAAAATGATTAAAGATGTAACAGCCCAAGCCCAAGTCCACCGCAAACAGATATTGTCCGCTTTGGTCGTTACGTATTGTCATCAGCCTCACGGTTTTAAAATACGTTTGTTAGGGAGAGGTTTCCACACCTTTATAAGAAATGTTTTGTTTCTATCTCCAACCAATGTGGGATTTCACAATCCACCCCCCTTACCCAATGCCCTTACTGGCACACCGCTCGGTGTTTGACTCTAATTCCATTTGTAACAGCTCAAGCTCACCGCTAACACATATTATCCACTTTAGCCCATTACGTATTGCCGTCAGCCTCACAGTTTTAAAACGCGTCTGGTAAGGAGAGGTTTCCACACCCTTATAAGGAATACTTTGTTCCCCTCTCCAACCGACGTGGGATCTCACAAAAGAAGTCCAGTCCAAAGTGAAAAATTGAATTCATCTATTTCTCAATTCTAAAGAATCCTACCAATCCCTAGCCTTGCCATTAAAATCTCTTCATTTCTTTCTTTCCATGAACCTCAAAGGATTGTCTCCACCCATTTACCCAGATGATCTTGGCTTTTTTTTTCTCTTAAAATTATGCCCACACAATAATGAAGAAACACAATTTGAAGATCCATAGAAGACCCACCGCAGATTGACACTTTGTTGCAGAAAAACCCCCATCACCTTCTATTGAAAAGACAAAGAAAAAACAAATACTTGGCCTCTCACTCTCTCTACAAATTTCTGGCTCTGCCTCTGCCTCTAAATTTTTACTAAGTACACACCATGATGGCCACGATGGGTTGACAAAAGAACTATAACACTTTTTAAAAATTTTATCCATGGTTGTGGTAGTATTGACTCCCTTAAAGCAAAGGGTCTAAATGAAAGATATCAATTATTTTTTTTTAGCTTCCTTCAATTATATTGCTCAAAACAGAATTTCCAAGGGCCACCCTGTTATCTATTAGCTTGTCAACCAAGCTTCGGGATGGGGTTTATCTCGCTTATGGCATAGCGGGCTCCAGTGGGAGGCCCCGTCCAATAGCCAGCCAGGCCCCAGCAGAACAAGCGCTTTAGGAAAAGAGCTATTACCTTATTTAATATTAATGAATATGCATTTTGTCATGTAGATCATTACGTAGTGGTGTAATTCATTCTAGTTGCCTCAAAAGATACCATAACCAGATATAGGGCCAAAAAAAAAAAAGAACAGACAAAAAACATAAAACAAAACAAAACAAACCTTATCTCATAGTGTTCGCCATTTGGAGGTGTTTTCGTTCGTAGGTCCAGCATAAATGATCTATAGGAATGGTAGCAAAAGTCTGCAAAATCCCGAATAACGGTGCAACATCCTTTAACTGTGTCCCAAGTTCCATCCTGAATGCCCAAAAATATAAGTTTCCCTTCATACAAACAAGAAAGTAAACAAGATAATAAATAACTAGGCAGAACCTAATCATAGCCGTACATAGAAGCAATGAAACAATTTATTAGTCTTTGATTCTCCAACAGCATCAAATGTAGCAAGAATTGGTGAAAAGAATCCATAAGCAGCTCCGCCGATGATACTTGCCACTACTCCGACCACGGGCCACAAAATCAAGGGAACGGGCAGTGCTCCAAAGCAGAGAACAAATTTTAAAACAGGTCCAAGTTGTTTGGCACTGTTAATTCAGGGGGAAAATGATAGATCAATTATGGTGGTGAATAATGGAAGAGAATGGAAGTAGTGAAAGCACACCTCAGAATGCTATAATAGGTCCAGAACCAGTGCATTGGCCAAAGGCCTAATATGATACCAGAGATTCCAGCTGCCATTAGGAGGCATATCAGAGGGCACAGAATGATACCTGAAAAAATCGTCTGGTATTGTTACATCAATTTTGAAACCAACAAAATTCATACATATCGTTTAGTTATTCTCAGTGCCAAATTTGCAGTTAGAAACATCAAGGCCAATGCTTGAAAGGAACAAACATTTGCAATAATTGTGGGAACCAGGCCACATGAACAGGGAGTGTCCACTATAGTTTCAAGAGGGCAATGCGTTGCAAGGACCGTTTTCACAACCAGAGGAATTGGGAGTATAAGTTAGCCAAGGGCAATCTATTGTGCAAGCAAGACCAATTATGATGATAGTCTAATATGGCAAAACCGAGTGAGTCAAGATCAAAAGGACAAGTTGGAAGGCCTCGCACCCAAGGAAATTTGTTCGTTGTGTGATAAGGAATCAACCCAAGGGAAATCTCAGATACCAAGTGATAAGGAATCACTAAAAGGGAAGTAAGATTCAAATTACCTTGTTGATTGAATATCTCAAGGTAAGAACACTTGTTTGAGATTCGAAGCACTCTACAAGTAAGATTGATCATGTCCAGCTTGAATGATTCTAAACATGCAATCTAAACTACGTAGAATTGCAAAGAAACTTAGCCCTTAGCTAAAGGAAAGGCAAGAACACTTAGCCCTAATGATTAGGAATCACTCCAAGTGAAAGTAAGATTCCAATTACCTTGTTGATCAAATATCTCAAGCAAGAACACTTGTTTGAGATTCAAATCACTACACAAGCAAGATTGATCACGTCAAACTTGAATGATCCTAAACATGCAATCTAAACTACATAGAATTGCAAAGAAACTTAGCCCTTGGCTAAAGGAAAGCACAAATGCTCTTTTTACTCCATTCCAAATCTCTTTTACAAAGATAACATACATGACTTTATATAGCCTTAAAATGAAAACCCTTACCCTTACACGAGACCTTCCAAGAGTTGTAACTTTCATACTTTATGACCATAATTAGTCACTATGTATACTTTATAGCTGTAATTAGCCACCATGTAAATAAGCCTTAAAATACATTAAAGAAACACCATAACTTTAAATTATCATCCACCCAAAATTTGTAGCCATCCAAGAATAAATGGAGCTTAATTCTTCTCTAACGTGACATGAATTGCAACATCTTGTGATAATTTGAACAACGTTTTCTTCACATCTTCCTTAAAGTTTATCTTGTATGATTGATGTTTCAGTTCATATCAAGTTGGTTTCCTTTTTTTCTTGTGCTTTCTACTTTCCTCGACTTCCACAAGTATTCGATCCCTATCTATCCCCTACAAACCGCATTATGACCCTGGCTCCCTTAAGATTCTCAAATTTGGAGAAGACCCTTAGTTTTCCTCACAGTAAACCTTAAAGCACTTCTATACTTCACCCCAATATGAAAATAGCAGCTAGGGATGCATAAAGAAGACAGTACAACCAACCTTCACTTGTTGATTCCACTTCAAAGTAAACTATTCAGAGCAAAATATTCCATGGGGCTAAAGGCAAAACGCAAAACCCGCCTTCAACTTCAAGTAGTAACCAGCTCGTTGAGCTAATTCAGTAAGCTATTCAAGCTCCTAGACCTCCATCTGCCTAGTCCTAACCTCAATAGATGACCTCCACTTTATCTCGGAGATTAATCGATCTATCTTAGTTGTAATTGTGTTATTGTTGTTTAGTTGTTGTAGATCCATTAGGTTAGTTAAAAAAAAGTAGCAATTTGATATCAAGCTAGTTAAGAAAGAAAACAATGAGGAGAAGAATTCCTCGAAGCTAACCTTTAATGGCGCCCAAAAGCAGAAGACCAACAAAGAACGGAAGGAAGCAGATGAAGTTCCATAACGAAGACAAAAACCCCCTCGGAGGTTCCATTATTAACGCCCTCAACCAATCGACCTCAAAGATCTTCAATCGAATGCAAAACCAACCTAGAAATCATCTTCAATCGAAGCACAAACCACCAAAATCCAATCTCCAGTACATTCAGTCCACAAATTACAATCAATTCAAGCCATTCGCTCGAAATTACACCAAAAAATACACTAAAATCCAAAAAATCGCACCGCAAAAGAGCCACAGAAAACAACAAAAGTAAGCCACCAAGTGGAATCTCAGTTGAAATTAAGAAGAAAAAAGAATCGATACAAGAACTGCAGTTGAAGAACCGATTAAATGGAGTGTTTCACTCAAGAACAATGAACACTCAACCGCTCCGCCAACCAGCTTTCAATGAAGAATTGGTTCTCTTAGCTTTTGGATCGACTTTTACACCGAAGCAACTTCGGCTCTGTTCCTTCATGATTTTGCGTCTCTTGCTGATAAGACGACAATAACTGAATATTGAATATTCCAATAAATGGAAAAACTTTTCAACAAAACAAAAAAGTTTCTTTAAATTTTTATTTACCCCAAAACTTTTCAAAATTTATATTTTTGTCCCTAAAATTAAATATATTTCTCATCTTCCCCATTCCTCCACATTATTATTCTATTAGTCAAAATGTCAATTTTACTCGGGGTCTAATAATAAATAATTTCAAAGTTTAAGGACTAATTGATAATTAAATTAAAAATGTCAAATAAAAACAAAATTAAAAATAATAATTTAAAGTGTGGTAATATTTTTGAGTAATTCTATATTTTTTTAAATTTTAGGCCGATAATTAATTTTTTTAAGTATATTTTTATTTTCTTAATAAAATATATAAATTATTAACTAAATTTCAAAAACAAAAAATATATGTAAAAAAAAATAGATAACAAAACCAAATAATTTTAAAAATTTAAAAACAAAAAAATTATATTAATTTAAAAATTAATTTGAAAGAAATTAGGGAGAATTATCCAAAAATGATTATTATTCACATAGATAAAACGACAAATATCAGGATTTGGAAGAAACCGACGATATCACCATACAACAAATTTCTTTCAAAAAACGCTTGATGGACTTGTTCCAAAGATGTTACCAACTGCAATTAGTGCACAATACTGGTATGCAACAACTCGGAGATCTCAAGTGCGGTTTCTATGAGAAAAAGTAAAAATATTGCACTCGTTTATCTGATCGTGATGAGAGTAATGTATACGAGTAATGTGCTCGTTTTCCTTCAAATATAATACGAGAGATATGATAAATCATACTATTCTGACTCTTTCTCTCCTTATTCCTTAATTAGAATCTCCAAAACTAAAAAGAAATTAAATGAATTATATAAGGATTAAATGGTAATTTTACAGTTGGTTGAACCATATGAATATTTTATTTAAGAATTAAATTAAGATACAACATTTTTTAGTTTGGTAATCTAATGATTGTTAAAAATGAAGCTTTTGAGGCCCATTTATTGCGTCATTCATTACTAATTAATTAATTAATGTGAAAAAGCAACCAAAAATATTAATTAAACAAATTATTTATAGATTTAAATATTATTATATTTATTTCATCAACAACTTAAAATTGGTTTCTGTTATAATTTAATTTTTTTTAAAAATTGATTCATATTATAAATTTTTTTTTGGAAAAAGTAAACAATATCACCTAATTTTAAAATTTATTTAAAAAATATGAATTATATTTAAATAATATTTTAATCTATATATTATAAAATAACGTTCGAAAATTTATTTTTGGTCCCTAAATTTTATGAAAACAATAATTGGATCTCTATATTTTAATATATAACAATTTTTTTTTTAATTTTTTAATCAAATCGAAATATCTATTTTTATTATTTGACAATTGACCATAAAAGTAACGAAATTAAAAGTATAAGGATTAAATTGTTATATATTAAAGTGTAAGGACTACGTTGTAAAAAAAAAATCATGGACTAAATTGTAATTAACCAAAATTGAGAGACTAAATCGTTATTTTCTAAAATAATTTTGTTTTTTTTAAAAAAATAAACTTCACTTCAAGTACAAATAAGATATATTAAAATATATTTTTAAAATAAATATAAAAAAAAAAGTAAGAGAGAGAATTTCAAGACATTTCTTATCAATTTTAAATAACCAATTAAAATTTTTATATTCCAAAATAAAAAATAAGTAAAGATTCTGATTCTTTTCTTAAAAGAATATGATTTGATAATATATATGAAGTTTAACGATATTATTTATGGAGAAACTTTTCATATACTACCATCTCGAGTTAGAGACCTAAGCCAAAATTTTTAAAGAAAGATTGAACCTAAAAAAATGATGAACTGTGTCGGGATTGATTTGTTTCGTAAACGAGAAAGCTAAGCTTAGAAAATTATAAGATTCCACTTTGATTCGATTACGAGGATTGTAATTAAAAATGTATTTCTTCCTTCTTTTATCACTAATAACTTAGAATCGGTGTGAAACCGAGTTCAAAGTTCACGTTTTCATTCATTTGGAACCGTTTTGGTAGCTGCTCTTCAATCAAGGGGAAATTTTCTAATAGAAAAGCTGTTCGTTTTTCGGGGTCTCTTTGGAGTGGTATGACGAAGGTCGGGCTAGGAGTGGAGTCCTAAAAAAAAAAAAAAGAAGAAGAAAAAGCTACACATTCTCATATACTTTCATTAAAGAATAGCTTTCTGCATCACTTGTGTTTTTAGCCTTTTTTGACCATCAAATTTCCATACACATCAACAGAGAAAAGTGTCTAAATCCACAATTACTAAGTTGACTTACCATAAATGTTTCCTTGATCAGCTGTTGATGATATTCCGTTAGGCCACGTTGGCGTTTTCGAGCTCCGTTTGCACTCGTCATGAGAAGCCATAGGCTTCCTGCACAAATTAAGAGATCAGAGTACTGAGACATCGTCAATCACTGACTTCATTTCTTTCCAACCGTTCGTTTTGCGCCGGGAACATCGGCAGTTTTACGAACATTCTTCAAAAGACGTTTATTTTAGTCAATGAACTCTTGTTCTCGTCTGGTGGTCGAGGCCCTAACAAGCTTATATCAATGGAGGCTCCATAAACTTGAGAGGAATGAATTACTGCATCATATATCTTAGAAGAAAGATTGAGACCCTCACTCTTAGCTTTCATGTATAACTCATAAGCAAGCCTTGGTTTACTGTCCTTCGCAAGGGCCTCGATCAGCAATTCGTAACTCACCTCGTTCGGAGAGATATTTCGAACTTTCATGCGGTGAAACCACTCGTAAGCTACACTGCTCATGCCATTACGAACACATCCCGTGATTATCGCATTATACGTGACGACTGTAGGCTCGATGCCTGATGCAACCATATCGTTGATAGTGAGTTCAACCATGTTGAACTTCCCTTGGCCAGTGAAAACCGAAGCCATAGTTGTATAGGCATAGATGTTCGGCGCCACCCCGACTTTAATCATATGATCCCAGACACTACGCGCTTCATCATAGAGCTTTCCCTTCTCCAGGGCACTAAGTAACGCCCCGTAAGAAAGGACAGTCGGTTTTTCGCCTTGGTCGATCATTCTCCTAAAAATTTCGATAGCCATGGAAGTTTTGGCAGCTTTCGAACAGGCAACAAGAACAGCATTCCATTCCCGAATTCCGGGTTTAAGACCTTTCTCTTCCATTTTGTTGAGTAACCGAACGCCCCATCTCCAAATTCCTCGGTTTTTCGCAGCTGTGAGAAGAACATTGAAGTGAGAAACAATCAGTTCATATGACAGGTTATTCGGTTTTGGTCCTTTCTCCAACAAATCTTCATAAATCTCCAACGCAGCCCACCATTTCTTAGCTTTCCCCATCAACCAAATCACATGATTACAAACAGATAAGCTTATACCAGATTTCTTTTCTCTTATCCTATAGTACAATTCTTTTGCTACGTTATGGTGCTCCGCACACGTGCAAGCCCAAACAAGTCGTTCCTCTTCAGCACGATCGAGCGACAGTCCTGCTTTATCCATTTCCGTGAGAAGTTGCAATACCTTCGTGCTTGCGCTATCACCCTTCACAAGCCAAATCCTCATTACTTGGTAGCAAACACGCCTAGTAAAGTTTTCGAGCTTTAAGAACTCATCGTCCCAATCTACGTTATCGTCTTTCGCTATCTCACCATTACGATATCTTTCTCTCAACTCAACCATGAACTTTAAAGCACCGTTCCCATCTTTCATCCTTCGGTATGCTCGTAAGGCCGTAGAGTATGACACAGGGGACAGAGTTAAGCCTTTCTTCGGCATCTCTTCAAGAATGTCGAGAGCTTTCATTGGCAGTCCTTGGTCCAAGTAAATCGACATAATAGTATTGTACGTAACAACATTTGAAACGATTCCTTCCTGAGACATATCATTCAAGATATCTTCCATTTTCGAAAACTCTCCAGATTGCTTAACCGCACCGAGGAGACTGTTGTATATGAACAAGTTTGGTGCGATACGACCATTCGTTTCGATCTTCCTTGTCTTCAGCCATTCAACAAGAGCCATTGCACACCCCAACCTCTTGTCTCTCCCAAAACCTTTAATCAAGGAAGAGAACACTTGAAGAGGCAATTCACCAACATCCTTGAGAACCTCCTCGACATCGTCTACAGTTCGAGCAAGCTCCAACCGACCCGCTAGAGCACGAACATCAACCTTAACATCTCCCTCTCCCTCTCCCTCTATACCTTCCTCATCTTTAAAACTCCTTCCACTGCTATTTTCACCATTAACAGAGTCTTGATCGTGTTCATCCCAATCTAAACTCTTCTCAGGAAAATCATCTCCAGAATTCGATTGAACCCTAACAATTTCACCATCAATCGTTGGTTGTTCAACAGCCCAAGCAGATAAAAACCACACACCAAGAGAATTCCTCTTCGGCTTCATTAATCGAGCAACCCTAAGCTTAGAACAGCCATGGCGGAACTCAAAATTGCAATCAAATTTCGAGTTCTCATAACAAAATCCACATCTCAAAACACTTGAACTAAAGGGAATCAAAGCGAAACCGCCATTTCCACAACAACCAGAAAACCTAACACAATTTATCCTTTTCCTTGAACCATTAACTACAGAATAAGAACCTAATTCAAGGCCAGAGCTACTAGGACACCAATCACTAAGAATACTCATCGTCTATGCAAAAAACAGACAATCCCAGAATTTGAGTATCCTATGAACGATTTCCCATTACAATCCAAAGTTGGAAAGAGAAACGAAGAACAGAATTACCTGCTAGAGATGTATCTGCTTCAGCTTGAGCCGTAAATGAGAGGATTGAAGAGCGATTGAAATGAATGCGGATTCGATGAATGATTTTTTTCGGATAATATGGGTTTTGTTTGATTCTTTCTTCTTTGTAAGTTGTTCTTATCACAACCACTGAATTTGTAGTTAAAACTTTTTATTTTTTTATTATTTTTTAACATATTTTTATAATAAGGTATTTTTAAAATAAAATATTAATGGAAACTTTATAATATCGATAATTTTATCAAGTAAAAGTAATAAAAATCTAAAAAAATATATTTTAAAAAATTATTGAAAAATTAGTATTCAATGAGCTCGGTCGTTTCAACTTCATCCTAAGTCTTTTGATTATTGAAATCGGGTAGACCTGATTTCAACCCAAACGGTGACCATTCGTGAACCTCAAATATCAAGCATTCACAAGTGACAACTTGTCTAACATCAGTTATAATCGTCAAATACGGGTTGACCTGACCAAAAGCAGTCAACCGTGAACTAACTCGACTCAAATAAAAATAAAAATAAAAAATTAATCAACTTTGTAAGACAATCGAGCATACCCACATTTCTTTAATGCAATAATTTTTTTTTTCTTTAAAAGCGTGTGTTTCTCATGAGCTTTGTACACGTAAAATTTGAGAATTCGAGAATAGTTACAAGAAGTTGAAACACATTATTACTGTGAAAGCAGCCCGTGATTATTATGTAACAAGACATAACATTGAAAATAAACTCGATAGAAACAAGACATAACATAACAACATTGAAACACGTTATTACTATGGATCTCTTGCTCTAAAAAACCGAACAACAATTTCAAAGTCGACGTTACAAATTGTTGGAAGATGGTCGAACAACCGCCAAAAAGAGACAAGACTTTGAAAGTATTCCAAAATGAACCAATTATCCCAGAAAACCAAGTCTGACAGAAACAAGACATAACAACGTTCAAAAGAATAGTTACAAGTAGTCGAAACACGTTATATTACTACAAACCTTTTACTCTAATAAACCGAACAACGGTTTCGAGGTCGACATCATTAATCCTTTTGAGACCATGAAGCAAAATGTGAGAAGAAGATCCACCGATAGCCAAAAAAACGAACATAATTACTACGTTTCTCAAAAGAAACCAGACATCTCTCAAAACAAACTCGACTGAAACGAAACATAACAACGTTCAAAAGAACGGTTACAAGAAGTCAAAACACATCATTACTACGAACCTCTTGCTCTAAGAAACCGAACAACAATTTCAAACTCGACACCATTAATCCTTTTTGAGACCATGAAGCAAAGTATAGGAAGAAAATCCAACATCAGCCAAAGACAAACATAATTACAACGTTGCTAAAAAGGAACCAGACATCTCTCAAAACAAACTCGACGAAAACAAAACATAGCAACGTTTCAAAAAATAGTTACAAGAAGTCAAAACACATCATTACTACGAACCTCTGGCTCTAAGAAACCAAACAATGATTCGAAAGTCGATGCCCATGCCATTAATCCTTTCGAGACCATGAAGAACGCTTTGAAAAGAAAGTCAAAAGACAGGACAAGCTTTGAATTAGGAGACCAGACATCATAGATTTTGCAGAAGAAAGCTTTGAAAAGAGACAAAAAGTCAAATCCTGACCTCCCATTTCCAGCAGATGGCTGAGCTGCGCATGCTCCTTGTCCTTGTTCTTCCCATGTTCCAAAAGCCAGTTTTTCATTACCACTCAGCAACAAATGATGCAGAGATTTGTATAATAGACTGTGACAATAAATTAGAAGAAAGCAAAACAAGATGATGTTTTATTCCCTTGCAAATCCACGCCCATTACCCGGTTCGTATTCTATCAAGCCGATCGACACTTTTTCTCGCTCTTTCCAATTGGTGTTCGACGCTTTTCCGTGACTTTTCATGGCAATCGACACTTTTACGAGACCTCTCCCCATGGTTAAAGGAGAGTCTGAGCTTTTCTAACTTATCAGTAGCCTTCAGCTTCTCTGGTTGATCAGTGCTCCGCCTTGGTTTGTCTCTCCGGTCCGTGCTCTTCCTTGGAATCTCGAAAAAGTCTGTGCTCTTACGAGGCTGCTCGTATTGGTCTGTACTTTTTCTGGCACTGTATCGCTGTGAAGGAGGTTTCTCAACTGTTCCTACAAACTTCTTTAGATGCCTGATATACTCGGGATAGAGCTCGAGATTATAGTGGTTTCCGCCATTTAGCCACAGCGGTTCGTATTTCTCTTTACAGAGCTCCCATAGTTGCTTGCCATGGGAGCAATCAACCACATCATCTGAAGTTCCCTGCAAAATGGTGTAAAGATGCCTTAAGTTTTGAATACTTTCACAGAGCCAACATTAGATAGCTACAAATTACGCTGATCCCACATTGGTTGGGGAGGAGAACGAAATATTCTTTATAAGAGTGTGAAAACCTCTCCCTAGCAAACGCGTTTTAAAATCTTGAGGGGAAGCCCGGAAGGAAAAACTCAAAGAGGACAATATTTGCAAAGAGTGGGCTTGAGCTGTTACAAATGGTATTAGAGCCATACACCGAGTGATATGCCAGCGAGGAGGTTGAGCCCCAAAGGGGGATGGACTCGAGGCGGTGTGCTAACAAGGACGCTGGGCCACAAAAGGGGGTGGATTGAGGGTCCCACATTGATTGGAGAAGGGAGCGAGTGCTAGCGAGGACATTGGGCCTCAAAGGCAGGTGGATTGTGAGATCCACGTCGGTTGGGGAGAAGAACAAAACATTCTTTATAAGGGTTTGGAAACCTTTCCCTAGTAGACGCGTTTCAAAAACTTTTAGGGAAACGCGAAAGAGGAAGCTCAAAAGGACAATATCTGCTAGCGGTGGACTTGGGCTGTTACTACATCAATCTTACTATACGAGTTAATATGTTTTCATGGTATGAATCTAAAAACTAAACCAAGAGATGATACTTCCTCTTCGTCTACTACGACACGAGCAGACCGATAATGATTAATCTTCTTTCTTCATAGCATCACAAACATTAACAGCCAAAACGAGCAAGTGCCCGCCTATTACCCGACTCCTAATAACACTAAGATAAAAAGAACCAAACTGCTTAACATATTCAAACCCAAGACGGGTCAACACGTCCACGCCACAGAATCATATCCATAACTCATATGTTAAACAATGCACAAAGACTTAAAGAGGAAATACGTTGAAGACCGTCCTTACATGAATGATGAGGATCGGGCAATTAACCAGCGAAATTTTGTCGATATTCTGCACATAGATGGAAAACGAAGTCCGTTTACTACACGTATATGAAAACCAATGAACCAAATAGTAATATCTTACCTTATAAATATCGAACCAGTAGGAACGCTTTACGGGATACATGACTCTTAGACCTGAGAGTATTGGACTATGCAAAACAACAGCTCTTAAGTGAGGAAGTCGAGCTGCAAGATCCAAAGTCGGGCCACTCCCAACGGATTGACCGTATAAGATCACATCTTCCTGTTTGGTACCATAGCTTTCTTCAAGACACTTATATGCAGCCTCAATATCTGCATATGTATTTTGCTCAGATGGCTGCAACACAATGTTTGAAAAATCCTCATTGTATTATATAAAATAAAGAGTTATTTCTGTCATCAGAAGCAAATTCCAACACACCTTTCCTGATGATTGACCGTAACCCGAATAGTCGTACCTGCACGAAGTAAATGGAACAGTATCAGGAACAACACACTTAGGAGGTTGTTTAGACTCGTTTTGTAACGGCCCAAGCCCACCACTAGCAAATATTGTCCTCTTTGGACTTTCCCTTTCCGGCTTCCCCTCAAGGCTTTAAAACGCGTCTGCTAGGGAAAGGTTTCCACACCCTTATAAATGGTGTTTCGTTCTCCTTCCCAACCAATGTGGGATATCATAATTCATCCCCCTTCAGGGTCCAGTGTCCTCGCCAACACTCGTTCCTTTCTCTAATCGATATGGGACCCCACCAAATCCACCCCCTTCAAGGCCCAGCGTCCTTACTGGCACACCGCCTCATGTCTACCTCCTTTCAGGGAACAGCCTCCTCACTGGCACATAGTCCGGTGTCTAGCTCTAATACCATTTGTAACAACCCAAGCCCACCACTAGCATATATTGCCCTCTTTGGGCTTCCCCTCAAGGCTTTAAAACGCGTCTCCTAGGGAAAGGCTTCCACACCCTTATAAAGGGTGTTTTGTTCTCCTCCCCAACCAATGTGGGATATCACACGTTTGGTAGACATGGCAAGGTCGAGAATTTCCATCGAACAAGACGATGAGCTACGTGAGCTTTAGAGCATGGATTCACGATTCACAACTCCTCCTACCTGCAGATTAACATCTTCCCCAGCATCTAAATTTGCCAAAACTAAAGCCCTGAATCTATGATTTATAAGGATAATAGATTGATAAACTGAAACGAACAGAGTGACAATGAAGCCCACAAGATTGGAAGATCTACACAACAATAACTCACAGAAAGCTGGAACAGAACTTAAGCAAATTCTTCAAAGAAACCAAGCAACAACAAAATTCCATGAAAAATACCCTTAAATCGATCTAAATTTGCTTAAACTAAACAAAATGCAAGCAATCAAACGCATAATCTTCAAGAACAGAATGCCAAAATAGAGTAGATCAAAAGGCATAAACAGAGAGCTATCAAAACAGAGTTATCGAATCCAAATGTTAAGAAATGGGGGGAAGAACAAGTACCCCATTAGATTAACACGCAGGTGAATACTGAGCTCGATGAAGAGCTCATACATTTGGCCAAGATCGGCGGCGTTGCCATGAGAATACAACAGAGTGGAAGTCGCCATAGGATGCCGGACATAAACGGCAACAATATCGGTGCTCCGACGAGAGGGAAGTTTCAGAACTTCAACATTTTCGCGATGAGGGAAAGGGCTAAGAAGCAAAAGACCAGTAAGATCATCAGTGATGAGCTTATAGGAAGGTGGATTCGGCGGGAAGAAGGCGAACTTCGCCGCCATGGATGAGGTAACGCCACCCATATCGCCGCTGCTTTGGAACCCACAAAAGATTTCAAAATCTACACTGAAAAAACGTCCGATTATATCGAATTTCGAGGTGTTTTCGATTTGGGAATT